CCCCCCCCCCCCCCCCCCCCCCCAAAAAAAAAGAAAAAAAAAAGAAAGAAGGAAGCCCAATTATTGCACACCCACCCAAATACAAAACGGAAGACAGCGGTGACGGTAAAAGTAAGCAACAACTACATAACATGACCTTTCAAAACATCACACATCCATACATACATATATATATATATATATATATATATATATGTACGCCGTGCTGTATCTCCCTACCAGCAGTCATTTCCTGCCCATATGGTTATACGGTTAAATGCAAATAAAAAAATAATTATCCTCAATACGGCGATTTAATAGAAAACAGATCTATGACGCAAACACACACACACATACACAGAGACTCTCGCAGACAACGAACAAAAACACCCACCATTGTTTGCTTTTACAAATTTCTTTTGTTTTCGTTCCCCTCTTTCTCTATTTTTTTTCCTTTCTTTTTTCTCCATTTGGGATTTCCCTAGACACAGAAAATGAGAAGCAGCGGCAAAAGAATCAATAAAGCAACACACACACACACACACAACCAACTTCAAGGTGGCTTTTCCGTCTTTCGTTGTAGCGCCAAAGAGCGACGCACGTAAAACGAATGATCTGTAATCCCCTGCTGCCGCACCTCAAAGTACTGCGGATACTTCTCAAAGTAATGGAAAGCCCTCAGAGACGGCTTTCCCATGCATTTTACCCGCACCTCCTCCGGTATATTGAGGTCTGTAAAAGCAGCCCACTCATTTGGGATGTACTGCAGGACGGTGTTAATTCGCTTCTGCCTCTCTGCAACGGGGTCGTGCTGCAAGATTCTTTCATTAATCCCCTTCCCATCTTTGGATTGGGCCGATGACGAGGAGACCGCCGCAACCACGGGAGGCTCCTCAAAAACCATTCGCCGCGCAGTAGACGGCACCAAATGTGGCGGAGCGCAGTAAATAATCTTATTCTTCGCATTGCCCTGCTGATACAACGCAAAATGCTCCGGGTAGCGCATAAGCAACTGCTCCAGCGGCTCTTTGTTCTTTACCAGCGTCTTCCGGCTTGTGGGGGACAGGGCGCGAAAGAGTGAGCCGATCGGCACGGGGCGGCTTAGCACCACCTGAATCTCCTCCAACAATCTTTCCATCGCCTCCTGATGCGACACCGTCGAGGACGATGCCGGTGCGTCAGACGACCCCGATGTCGACGCGCCCTTCTCCGTTGATTCACCGTCGCCACTCGACGTGGCGTGAAGTCGACGTTGCGTGACGACGGCGCCGCTGACGTGGCAGACAAACGACGGTGGCCATGTCCCCCGCACGAACGCCGTGACGCCACGGGTGGTGGTGCCTCCTCTACCAGCGTGCGTCAATAACTGTAGCACCGCCTTCCATCTCAATGCCCCGCGACCCACCACAAACATCCCCACGTGTATCAATTACAATGTAATATACCACCCAACACTCTCTCCCTCGCTCGTTGATTCACACTACGTCATACGCAACAAATCGAGTAAAAAAAGAAGGAAAGAAGACAAGGCGAAAAGGCTTACCGGAAGCACAGTAACCAGGAGAGAGAGAAAAAACAAATCGTACGTACGGGCGCACCTCCAGCAGTGAGTAGTGGCGCTTCCGAGTGTCAGACAAAATTAAAAGGGCATTAATGTGACGTAGCATGACCTCATTGAGCGCAAAAAGGAGAGGGAAAAGGAAGAGTGGGATGCCACCTCCCCACCCTCTTCAAAAACGCCCAAGCATCACGCCTCCTCTCGCTCAACCAAACACACACACAGACAGACAGACAAATTTCATAGAAAATTTGATTCTCCTCAACCTTCTCGTTAGGGAATCAACTCCCTTCCTCTGCTTCTATTTTAAAAAATACCCCCCCCCCCCTACAAAACATTCTCTCTGTTCCTCGCGTTCCACCTCCCGTCTTCGCAAAACGCCTCGCTACCATTCCGCCAAACAATAAAAAAATACACGTACACACACGCACAAGCAGAATTAGAAAAACAACAACCACAACAAAAAATAAAACGTTCCCCCTCAAAAAAAAAATATATATATAATAATAATAATAATAATAATCAATCAAATTGGTGGCGGTATTTGTGGTGTGTGGGATCTACAGCTGCACTTCATGCCTCTTGATTCACCCGGTTCCTTCTATCACTTCTGTTTTGAGTGCAGGGAACAAAAATGTGCAAAGGGTGGCAACGAATAGTCCGCACGCATTCGCTTCCCACATGACTCCGCAGTCGGCCACCGTCCATCAGTCAACAAGAACCGCTGGCACGAAAGCACATACGGACAACGGGGCGGAAAAGAAGCGCGGAAAGACCAGAAGCGCTCTCATTTCCTTTTCTTTTTCTTCTTCCCCGCACCTCGATTTACCTTCACCTCCCCACAGTATGCTTTCCTCTTCCCACAATGTTTCTTCATAGGACACATGCATGCCAAGAAAAAAACTCAGCGACGCCCCTGCGTGCCAAAGCTACGACTCTCACCGCCTATCCTGCCGCCATTTCCGCGTCCCCTAAAGCCCCCACGACCGCCACCGCCACCGCCACCACCGTCAAATCCACCTCTTCCACCGCCGCCACCAAATCCGCCTCTTCCACCACCACCACCACCGCCGCCATCACCGTCAAACCCGCCTCTCCCACCACCACCACCACCACCGCGGCCTCTATGGAACCGTTCACCACCGCCTCCACCGTCACCGCCGCCAAATCCACCTCTTCCGCCACCACCACCAAATCCACCTCTTCCACCACCACCGCCACCGCCATCACCGCGATTGTTACGGTTCCCACCACCTCCCCGATTGCCGCCGCCACCGCCGCCACGATTGCCGCCGCGTCCGCCACGTTTTCCACTACCAGCAGGACTGTTTATCCCCAACATTTCCTGCATCGTTTCTCTTTGCTTCTCGCGCGCAACAAGTTTCTGCATCGCCAAAGGAGTAGCTGCGGCGTACAAAACACCATCCGCAGGATTTGTTTTCACCACAAAAAGTTGCTTGCGTTGCTCCAGGAAGTTTTTGAGACCATCGTACTTCTCTGCAATCGCTTCCTGCACATCAGGTGAGAGCTGCGCGTGGAGACTCTTCACCGAAATGGCACCATTCTGCGGAATGTGTTTGACAATATTCTTGAGAATGTGTGAGTCATCCCGCATCACGATCCGCGTGAAGTCGCTAAGCTCACCATCGCCTGTCTTGTTGATAACCGTGCGTCGTGCCGCTCCGCCTTTGCTTTGAGCAGCTCCACCTCCACTTCCGCCTCCGCCTCCGCCTCCTCTGCCCCTGCCTTCATTTCCGCCCCCACCACCACCCCGTTGCCCACGGGCAGGACGACCACCGCCGAAGCCTCCCTGCGCACGAACGGAGACATGAAGCGTCATCGGCCTGCTTGCAAGACAGGCGCCAGTGCCAGACCGCAGCCCGGTCGCATTCTTAATCGCCATGGCGAAAAGGCCACTCACGCCATACGTTGGGGGTTGCAGGATTCGTCGCATATGCACCTCTCCTTCTTTCCAAACCGGGAGAATTCAAGCAATTCGTACACCCAAACAAGACAAAATAAAAATAAAAATAAATAAAATAAATAAAATGTGTTGTTTCAAGATGTTTATCTGCTCGTCACCTTAAATTCCTCTGGAAATATATCCAAACAAATATCTGTATTCACGTGTTTAAGTGTACCCCTCTCTTTCACACACACACACAGTCTCTCTCTCTGTCTCTCTTGGTCTAATTTTATGTAGAAAGGTTTCGTTGCCAGGTCTACACCAGCCACCAAATAAAATGGATGCCGGCTATTCCCTCTTCACGACCAAATATCCCTTTTTTTTTTTTTCTCTCTCTCTCTCTGTTTCTCTTTTTTCTTTACGTTTATATATCTTTCTTCACGCTATTCACTTCTTCCTGTCGTGTTGTTTCTTGACAATTTCCCTTTTCACTCACACAACACACAACTTATTTTACCTGTTCGTTTCCCTTTTCGCTTTGGGTACCTTCTTGGTGCCGTGCTGCTCGCAACAGGCGTGAGGAGGGGAGGGGAAGCCAAAAAAAAAAAAAAAAAGGAAGAAGAGAATTAGTACGATGTGCGGATCCGTCCATCCATG